AACTTTACGCTGGGAACATCACGTCCCTCTTCATGAAAAAAAGAAAAAAAAAAAACGAATCAAGTGCACTTTGATAATGGCCGACGTTCGCTTGCAGTCTCTATTTAAGGGAATGTTGCGGAAAAAAAGGGAAGAGAACATCGTCCTTTCATCCTGCGATCTATCCGAATAAACCCGGAAAGATCGGCGCTCGATACAGACCGGTAATTATTTCAAAACGGTCGTCCTTCGGTTCGCTATTAGGTCTATCAACGATCGCGATGACAGATAAGATCTCTTACCTCCTCTTTGTGCCGATATTTACCGGTGCAGTTCGGATAATATCCTAGTATCCTCTCCGATCCTGAAAGAGAGCATCTGGCTTCTCCACGTGACTGGAGGCTCCTTTGTGCTCGATTCTTTTCTTATCATAGAGATGATCACGGCGCAAGTTTGATCGAATGCGGAGCATTGCGTCGCGTTGACATTTCATTCGAATTAATTTCCAATTTAATTAATATTCTTGATGTCCGAGCGCTGTTATTTTTCCTGCATATCGATGATAAACGTTGTAACAATAATAATAAATAATAAAATCATGATGTACAAAACGGATGTAGATATACGCGTGCTAAGTAATTTAAGAGCAGTTGAAATTGCAAATTGCATTGCACAAAATATGAGTGGACAAAATTACACACGATAATATTCTACGCTTCTAAAAAAAAAAATCTACTCTTTTCTCAATAATCGCAGCAAGATAAATCACACGTGTATTTTCTTACAATTAAATTATCGCCGGGAAAGATCGTGAATAACACATCTATCGGGACGAAATTTTTCACGGTTTTCTTGCGTTGATTCCTCATTCTTCTTCCCTTACATGGTTTTTCTGAATCCGCCAGCGAGGCGGAATAAGAGCAGTCGACGCATGCTCATCGGCCTGTTATAATTTCGGTTCTATTAGTCGGGGCGCGACGGGGCCCTAAACTCTCCGAACGGATTTTCGGAGAGATCGTAAAGTTAAGCACGGACCCCACAAAGGCACGCCGTGAGCGCGTGTGTACGCGCCCGTGCGTTCCGGTTGCGAGCCGCGGCGGAACGGGGGCGAGTGGGCCCTGAAGAGGGTCCGCCGAGAGTATACTGTCAAGTAGCATCTTGACACGGGGCTCACAATGGCTACTTGTTAGCGCGCTGCGCCAACAGCGAGGGGAAAACGATCCAGACACTTGCCTTTTTCACATCGCGCTCTTGCGTTTCGTTACGTTCGCCCAACTCCGCGCCGATCTCCGGAATAATCTCGGGGAAAAAATTGTTATTCAACACCACTATCAATATTATTTTGGCTTTTTACCGAGAGCATTCAGCATTCCATAACCTCGTTCAGTCCGGACTCTCATGCTGTAGGCATGTGAGCGCCTTATTTCTCCATATTTATTCACAAGAGCAAAGAGGAAACACTATTGGCGCTAAGGTTTCGCAAAAAAGTGAAATTGTGCAGATTCGAATTTCTTATTCCACGAGATTCCTCCGATTTCTATTCCATTCACTTTTCCAAAAGCATCAGATTTTGTTAACTGTAACTTACTGTCTCGCGATATCTTTTTTTCATCAAACATGTTGTCGTAACGCTACTTACCGCTTCCGCTAGAATAATATCTAAGCAAAATGACGGAAGAGACGGGATTATTGTGAAAGGATATGTGCGTGCGTGAATGTGTGGATAATACTTACTACATCTTATTACTTTAAATAACATCAACTTTACTCGATTACAGTTCGATCGTACATCGTGATCTCTTACTTATACCTACTTACGCATCGTCACTCCTCTCTATTTATCTCTCGCGTACGCATTCACAGCTCATTCACGGACGCACACGCTCACACTCGTACTCGCTCTCGGCAATTCGTCTCTTAGTTAGTTGTGCAACGTTAGGTTTTGTCCGCTAAAACACTCGAATGAGAACTGGAGTGGACCGGATGGTAATCATCGGTAATCGTCCTCGCGGCATTCTCCTCTCTCATTCATAACGCTCCTTCGATGCCTCCTCTGCTCCATTTCTCGTAATGCGCGAGTTGCGTGCGAGTGCATGATTTGTGCAAGAGTCGTTACGATTAAACATCCTATCCGTAAAAATTAACTCTTTAGCTTTGGTCGAATCGCAGCGTTCGTTTCGTACAAAATTCCTTACATAATTTTCGATTTAAAGCTTCGCAAGTTTTGGAAAGAACATTGAAAAGACGTAACTTTCGGAGAGGAGAAAGTAAACATTGCGAAGAGATCGTGCAGTCGTTCGGAAGCTGCCCGTTTTTGTGCACCACACTTGTGTCGTGCAGATATGCTTCTGAACAATAATGTACTTCACAAGCACGTGGGAAAAAAAGTGACAATTGTTCCAGCTTTTGTCAACATCAAAACAATTCGTAAAAGTTATAAATAATTTGTCTGTTAAAAAAAATATCATGCATGCTTTCGTCTGCGTGAAGAATTAAAATTGGTTAAAATTATATAAACGTGAGAACTGCAGAAGTAACGGCTCGTTTCATGATTTATATCGACAGACGATTTCGATTGATATCCTTACATCTAACGTAATTTAATAGAACGTACGACCTAACGAGATTGGCTTTAACTTTGAGCTTCCAAAGGCCGACTGACAATACCATTTTCGTACAAATAAAAAAGTTGTGTTCCATTAAAAATTCTCAAAATAATTAAAAAAAAAACAATCTCTTTCTTGTAAAATGTGAACATTATCTCAATTTTGTCATAAATCTCTAAAAAATTTAAAAAAGTTGTATCGTAACAGTAGAATTATAGTTTGTATATCCATTTCTCTCTCGTGTAGCATCTTCACTGTCGCATCCGTAAATATTTTCTATTGTAACACGCGTAATGTAGCACTTACGAATTGTCGAATAAATATTTTAATGTAGTTTCGGGCGCAAATATATCTACAGAAATAAACGGATCCGCAGAACACAATGGATGTGAAAGATGCAAAGTGAAAATAACGCCGGTCGGCTCTGCTACTGGTCGAAGTTATTATTAATTTCCATATCGCCTCTCTCTCTCTTTCTCTTTTCACCTCGATCCTATCCCCTACCCTGTTTCGTCCCGAGGACTCTCTCTTTCTCTCGCTCTCGTAAGGGAAATCCTTTCTTTCCTCGACATCCTAGATAAGAATCTACAAGGCAATGTCGCAGCTAACGGAATATTCAGGACATCTGCGCGCGAGTATCTCACGAATGGAAAGTCGACATTAGAGATGAACGTAAGCGCTACTAACTCACTTTGAAAACAATTTTACAAGCCTCGTATAATAACGTGCCATTTATAGCGATAAAGTTCGATAAAATTATCGAATGTATTCCAATAAAATTTAATCCCATTTTTACAATACGAAAAAAATGTTCGTCGTAAAATAAATAAAAAAATAATCGCGAAACTTGCAAGAAACAAATAAAATAACGAGCTATTTCTTAGCAAGAAAACAATTTGATATATAGATAATATAGAGACCTTGCTCGCAAATAACAGAATAAACGATTCATCTCGATATCTCGGCTTTTCTGTTTCTCTCACACTCTTCAATAATATTTCTCCTCCTCTCTTTCCTCGCATTCCTTCCTTTTCGCGCACATACACATTCTAGTACTCTCCCTCTCGCTCACTGTCTTTAGTTATATTTATGTACAGACTGCGAACTGCGAATAAATGATAACTTACGCACTATTTTATACTGCGACAGCATTCACTGTCTACTGGGGGTGCCCTAAAGCTTCGGACCCATCCAGCTGCTTTTAAAATCAATTCAATCGAGATCACATTCTTTTGCCAGTAATAATTTTCTTTATATATTATATATATATATATATATATATATATATATATATATATATATTTATGTAACAATAACTCTTTTAAAAATAATAGCTGCTTTCTCACACACAAACCATCTATGGAATGTGAGTTATAGGAATAGAAAGAAAAAAAAAAGCATCTAGCAATTTGAAAAACGCATTGTCCACGTTAACGTTGTTTTCAGGAACTTCGTTGTACACTTTCACCCAGCTGAAAGCTGAAATCAAGCGACTCGAATTGTCGAAACCACCGTGAAAAGTAACTATCAATCGTTCAAGCATCGAGAGATATATTATTTCGTCTGATCACGCGGAATCCAATCGACGATTCGGGAACACCCGGTAGGCAGCGAACAAGAACGAGATTAACTTAATAATATATCGAATGCATGTGTATCATACATATGTACATACAGGACAAACACAAAAGCGTACAGTGTAAGAGGAGCGTGATTGGTTACGGCTAATTAATTAGCGAATTGATCAAATCTATGAAGTGGACGGCGGAACACTGGCTTGGTGAGGGGTGGGGTGGGGGGAGAGGGGGGGGGAGAGGCAAAAGGGACGGGGAGTTGAATTGCAATTGCTGGTGCACTTTAGTCGCGCACTTCGCGTAGAAAAGGAAAGAAACAATTGCTCCTTCGAGTGCAATTTATTCCGCTCGGGTGAGGAAACGGAAAAGTTTGGCGCCAAGTGCGGTGTGTCGGGACAGAAAAGCTGACGGGATTTTTCGCCCGTTTGTTTACTTATGGAAATAGTGGTAAACACAAGCCGGTCTGGCCGGCTCGCCGCGTGAGTGTACGAACTGGGAAAGTAAAATGCTAATATGTCTTTTGCTATTTCGTTCGGAAGCGTCATCGCCGCCTCGGCATCCTTTGACATCGGTTCTCACGCGTTTTCTTACAGAGTGGGATTATTAGCTCTCTCCGTGGGGAAACTTCAAGAATTTTTGCAAGTGGGTTAAAAAATTCTCGAAAGGTAATTGAGTTATTTTCTCACCGATTATTATTGAAATAAAAAATATATATTATATAATAATATTTTATGTAGATAATATAATGTATTTATATTAATATAAATAATAATTATATTAATATAAAATAATATATTTATATATCTATATATAATATAAATAATTAATATATAATATATATTTCTGTCGTAAAAAAATTGTTCTTTTACAAAAATAAAAAATGAATGCCGAGACGTACGCCGACGGTTTGACAGACAGCTATATGACGCTCTTCATTACACGTCTAAAACACCCACCGAGGAAATCTCCGGGAGGACGCGACGATGAAATCCGCGGAGAATTTTCCTCCCTGTTTATCTGGGCGTCGCTGGATCGTCAAGAAATTATCGGCGCGATATTTTCAATTCGAGCGACATTCACATTGTTTAGCAACCCGAGTTCGACAAGCCGATATCGTTCGCTGCGTTGCTATAATTTTCATCGGCCATCGATTCACTCTATTCCTCAAATAATATTTTGCGTTCTCGATGTAACGAGCAAAATTTATACGTCTCATTTTTTTTCTTCGGCGATAATAATTTATTAACGATCCAAATCTCGGCAGTAAACCATTTGAGTACCTTGATCGGCCGGAAGTCTCGCGCGTGGCGCCGATGTGCATTAAGTCTTCTCCTGGCTCCTCTTGGTCTGAGTGCTTGGGGCCCAAGGTCACAAGGAATGGTATTCGCCCAGCACGAGGCCGCTGTGGTAACTCGCGTGCGAGGTGGACATCCCCATTGAGCCCATGCCCTGGTAAGCGCCCATGCCCATGCCGTTCATCGACATGGTGTTCATGGTGTTGACGCCCTGCATGGTGTTGGACAGCATTGTCGAAGGTCCCATTGGGCTCAGCCCGCCCATGGAGGGCGCGATCGCGCCCATTTGCATCGACGTCGCCGTGTGCGGCAAGGACTTCTGCAGATCCGCGGAAGTCGGCGTGCCGATTAGATAGTCCTGCGACAGAAAAGAGGCCTTCTTCGCATTCTTTTCGTTAATTTCCACGAAAGGGAATATGTCCGCCATGTTATTCGATATAACATATCTTCTTAAAAATTTTTTACAAGTTTGAAATCTACGAGTCGTGCGTAATATTTGGATAATATTTATTTATTTTCTTCAACTTTATTATTAACTGAACGTATGTACGTCCGCGAAGACAATATGGTTGACTTTGTTTATCAGAAATGTAGAGATATTGAAAAACAAATAATGTGTACATCGTTGAGAAAGCGAGCGAGCGAGTGGGCAAGCTATTCCGAAGATCACTGAGCAGTCCAGTCGAAAAGATAATTATCGTGTTTCTGTATCTTCGCCTGCGCACCTTAGTTTTTTCTAAATTTATAGAATAATAATTTCCCAATTGTCGCAAGACAAATCCGTGCGAAAATCTTCCCACTTTCAAGATCAAAAAAGGACACAAAAAACCCATTTTATATCTCTTCGAGTTTTACGTCTACAGAGAATTAAAATCAGCACAAATGAGGATAAGAAAAAATGTTCAGAATTATCCCGTCGACTCACCTGCGGACTGTAGTACTGCATGTAATCCAGCTGGCTCTTCTGCTGAGCGCAACTGGGCGGCGGTGGTGGCAAGGTAGCGGTGGGATGCACGAGGCCGTGAGTGCCGTGGGCGCCGACCTGAAGATGATGCTGCAGCTGAAGGTGGAGATTCCTCTTGTCGTCGCCGCTCTCGCTGCTCGTGTCGTGATGCTGCATGTGGGGGTGGCTCAAGGACGAGCCGTGACCCTGGTGATACGAGTGCGGGCTGGAGACCGAGACCGGTGGCGGCAGCTGGTACATGCCGGAGGTTTGCTGATGGTCCACCATCTGTTGCTGCTGTTGCTGCTGCTGAACGGCGCACGAGGACGGCTGTTGCTGTTGCTGCTGCTGCTGACCGGACTGCCGCTTCGTCTCGTCGCCGCTCTCGCTGCTGGAGTCCCCGAGACCCCCGCCGTGGGTCTTGTCCTCTCTTTGGCCACTGAAACCGCAAAGCGACGTTTGCCCTTTCAAAAAAACACTGCTGGCTCTCCGAGATTTACGTTGCCCGAAACATGTTGCGAATAAAAGCAGGCAGACTGAACGCAAGACGCTTTGAAGAAATTGTTATGTTAATTGCAGTCGTAATATACCGTGCTTAAATTGTTATGTTAATCACGCCGTCGTTATCAACCGTAATCTTTAATGCCCATTCTCGTGCATTCTTTCTTCCTCTTTTCCCGATTCTGCATTTTAAAAGTCGACTCGGATATATTTTAAAAAATTATCAATTTTATCGAGCGAATAAAAATTCCAGCGTTGAATATTGCAGGTTATAAGTTTTAATTCCCTCGAAAAGAAATTCGTCAAGTATCCAGTATTAATCCAAGCAATTCTAAGACGCAATACACGCTCGTCGCCGGATCTTCATTCGGCATACGTTTCTCATCGTCTCATTATAAAGATATCCCAGAGGCCCGATTTAATTGCGCGCGCGAGCGTCGTGCTGGAGCAGCGCCTCGCGACAAGCCGGCGAGGCCGAGCTGGAATCGAAATAATATCGCCTAAGATAATACCGGCATCGGCGCGTAAAGTACCGAGAAGAGGGATACACCCCGCGTCTCCCTCCCGTACTTGTGAATTAAGGGCGGACACCGAGGGCGGAGGGCGAGAGGCGAGGGTATAGGGCGAGGTCTTAAAGAGGCGTGCAACGGACAGGAGAAAAAAAAATGGAGAGGAAAAGAGACGCTCTTGGCGTCTCGTAAACTCAATTTAGCGGCCTGGACCTCCTCGAAGCACGTGGGACCCACGGGCCCCGGTCGAGTTCTCCTCGTTTACTTCCCACCCCCTTCCCGCTCCCCCCCCTCCTCTCGTTCCTTCTCTCTTCGTCTATCTTGCGCCAGGTACCAGCAATCGTTAAGCGCTTGTTTTACAAGTCGTTTAGACGCGAGGCCGGCGATACCGAATCGTTCGAGGCAAGTGCTGCGACACTTGTCTACGGGGTGTTTTCGAGAACCGGTCTCTCTCTCACTCTCTCTCTGCTACGAGAAAGAAACTACCGTAGTGATAAGGGAGCGTGAAAGGTATCCGGGCCTATCAGCACCGTGACGCTTTTCGTTACACGGCTGTGAGAAGATTTCCAAGACATTTTAATTGAGAGATTTCGGAAACAGATAAAATACGAAAAAATTCAGACATTACATTAATATATAAATATGCACGCGTCCACACGTGTGATTTGAAATATATCTCAATCACTTTGTCCACCTGTCTTGTTTGTCCTTTCGCACGCACAAAATTTCCATTCATTTAAATTTAATTAACGCGTTTATTTATTTTTTATCGCGAAAGCAAAAGTAGCCGGAATAAATCTGAACTCACCGAGGAGAAGTTTTGCATTCGCACATGATTTGTATCTCAATCGCTTCACTTGTCTTGTTCGCTTCTCGCAACAATCAAATTTACATTTATTTAAATATATTGTATTCGATTAAGCGCGTTTGCTTTTGCTGCAAATTTTTAGCTGCAAGAGCGAAAGTAGCGGAAATAAATCTGGACTTCGGTGAGTTGCGACAATTAAGAAGTCTCCGTTGTAAAAGCGTCATTTTTACTGAATTCAAACACGGTTTTTACGTAATCCGACGTATGGCGAGAGCAGGATTCCATACGCATCGGGGCGACGTAGCGCCTATCGCGCCGATCTTCTTCGTACCACCTGCTACGACGCCCATAATCGTAATTATCCCGGCAACCAATTGCCGCACGAGAAATGAGATTTCTAATTAGCCGGGACACGTCTCGCTCTTTTCGTATTATCACATAAAGACGGGATTCCAGATGCACCGAGACGACGCGGGACCGCGCCTATCGTATCGATCTTTCTCGTACCACCCGTTACGTGGTGGAACCTATAACCGGACGGAGGTGTCCCCAGGTATGTGTTATCCGTTCGGAGATCGCGCAGTAAATTTGTCCGCGTTGCGCCGCGCGGCCACGAAAGAACGGAATCTTTCGGGCATTATTATTTTCATTAGAATTTGTGACTCATCGCGCGTAGCGGACATTTATTTCGAAGCCGTGACACCTACTCCGCGTCTTCGAATCGACGCTTCTCGCCTGCCTCTTTTTCTTCCTCCTCCCTCGGCGATCCACGTGGAGTCGAGGAAGCCTCGAGAAGACGATCTAACATCCAGGGGAATAATTAATAATTATCTCCGTGCAATTTGTCATACCGACATTTTCGCGCGAGCCTCTTAAATCATCTTGCTTCACTTGTCTTCTTTTCGATTCTTCACAATGATAAATAACAATGTGCTAAACGTCTGACATTATGTTATCATAGAAAATAAACGATCACGAAAGCATATACAAAGGAGTTTATAAAGAAGCGTTGAATAAAGTTTCCGTGTCTCTTAGCTGAAAATGTTGTTCGCTGCATTTTAATAAAAGAATAAAAATGAATTTTATAATTAAAAACATTACGCAATACAATAGCGACATTTTGTGACATATTTCAAAATCGCAATTAACATATGTCAAAATGTTTAATGCCGCGCCATACCCTCGCGCTATAAAAATGATAGGTGAAATTTTTCATTTCGGACATTCCGTTTATACTCACGTCGTCTGCGCCGAGATGAACGTAAAGGATTATAAAAAATTCCGGGAATGCGAAGAGATTGTATCTGCGGACAGTTCTACGTGAGAAACCGTTGTCTCACGGAGAAAAGTGGATGAATCGATCTCGGCGACCGCCACGGAATTTCGAAGTAAATCTTATTTACGAACCGGCCGATTAATAAAACTAGCCGCGCCTTCGCCGATCATTATCTTCCTCGTGCTAAAACCGACGCGCCGGTCCGTGCTGTAAAATCAAGATCAATAACTTGGGCTATCAAGTCATTAAAAACGTGTGTAATTGAATTCATGTTGCAGCGAATTTAATTCATCCGAATTTACATAATATTTATTTTTTATTAATTATCTGTGCTTTAGTTAGCGAAAGGGAATTTACTGTAATTTATCATGAGTTAATTGTAATTTTGCAAGAAAATACGTATTGTAATGAAAAACACATTGTATTCTCTTTGAAAAATCGCTTTAAATTCGCGTTAGGTAAATCTCGGGGAATAACGGGAAATAATAATCCGGCGTGCCGATCCAGCAAATTACATCGCGCTTCATACAAGCTGCTTTATGAAAGGCGCCTTTAATTGGGTGGCGCAAATAACGCATAAATAACCGGGGAAACGCGACGCCACCATTGCCGCTCATTCACGGCGGTCGGTGCTTCGCTGAGGTGCCGTCTATATAGGGGCGTTGGGTATTAGCATAATTCCTAATTTAATTTCTCGATAAATTCCTGATCGCACGCCCGCCTCGAAATGAGATGCTATCGCGGTACCACTAATTCGCGTCTAAGTTTATATCGCCTGGGACCGGCACGGGGCCCCCGATAGCATCTCTCTCACCCCTTCTTCCTCTCTCGCTCCTTTCCACGCTCCTTCTCCTTCTGCGCCGGAGCCTCCTCGTAAAATCGGATTATATCGGCTCCGTCGCCCCTACAATGTCGCGCACTTTATTCCGGTCTGCGTACAACATCGTCTCGTGGAACAAGTCTACGGGGTCAGAGTGCGAGTCTGTTTCCTTCTTTCTCTCGGCGCTTTCCCATTAAAAGAATTCAGACGAACGAATGAAGATCAGAATATTTCAAGTGCCAAAATGAGAAGCCAACGTTCGAAGAAACATCACAAGAATGTAAAAAATTGTCCGGCCCGACTTCCAAATCTTTACTCAAATTGATCCCTCGAATTTATTTTTCGCATTCCAAAAATCCGACGCAACCGCCGCGTTTCGCCCTCGAAAAGGCCATCTAGTTTCGCCCCCCGGGATTACTTAACTCTCATCGAAGAAGGCAGAAAGGCAAACGTAGGGGCCCGTAGAGCAAATTGAAAATCGGCTGACTCGTTTGTCGGCCCTGGGAGGGAAGAAAAAACGGCGGATTTTCCCGAGGCTAAGGACCTATCCACTTCTCCTCTCGGCAGGTGAGCGCGCCGAGGAAGTTACTGGCAGCTGATTCCATAAGCAGATAGGCAAGGAGAGTTTCCACGGCCTAAAATAATGGGAGGCAGCGTACCGTGTACACAACGTACGAGCCTCTGTTTGTAAACTACGGCTCTCGCCTGCCTTACCTGCCCTGCCGGATTTTCGGAGTCTGTGAAACGTCCGGGCGAATTTCTCGCGCGCGCGTGCAACAGATACGGGGGGGATCATCCGCGTAAAATTCACCAGTCCGGGAAAATTCGTCGGCCGGAGCAGGGAGAGATTATATTTGATGCAATTTTGGCGGTTTCGGCTTTCGGTTGTTATAAATGTAATAATGAATCTATCTTATAAACCAATCGCGTTTCCTTTGCAATACGCGAACGTGGAAGCTGAAATTCGCCACGAAAAAATAATAACGAGTAAAATTATGCTTCATAAACTCAAAATGTTTATAAATTCATAAAAGCTTTTGATTTATGCGTTCCGTGCGCTGATTTACAATCGGAAAAGGTAACAATTTAAACGATAATTGTCAAAGTGGTATTTGTCGAATGTAAATAGAACGAACGGAAAAATTATGTTTGCGCTCACTAATATACCGAGTATTATTCTAATAATGAATGGCGTGTCACGCCATTTATTTGTCGTGATCTGACATAATCCGACGGTGGAATGCGCCGGAGATGTGTGCCAGAAGATGATGCGTCTTCATGCCAATTGTCGTGCGCGCAAGTCTTCGGGCGCGCCTAAATTCGATTCAAGAATCAACACGCATCGAGAAACTGTGCCACTTTTGCGCGAGTGCAACAGCACGGCGATTTATGTTTATCTCGAGGTAATAGATAAGTCGTAAATTCTGGTAAAGTATATTCTTTGCAGTATAAGCGCTTGATTCTGGCAACGACAATTGTTTTGAAAATGCGGAACAATGCGATGTAACGGTGTTCATGATACACT